CCAGAACTACTTTACTGGGTGTCCTCTAGCACTTTTTAACGGACACCCTGCAGCCAATCAGAATCAAGTATTCACCCAGACCATGGTATAATGGGCAATAAGACCAATATATTCCTTTTTTAAAGGAGTAGTTCACTTTAAAAAAAAAACAACTGTTGCTGATAATTTACTCACCCCCATGTCATCCAAGATGTCTATGTCTTTCTTTCTTCAGTCGAAAAGAAATTAAGGTTTTTGATGAAAACATTCCAGGATTTTTCTCCATATAATGGACTTCATTTTCAGTGCAAACTGTTCAAAGGGCTTTAAACGACACTAGACGATGAATAAGGGTCTTATCAAGCGAAACAATCGCTCATTTAATGAATAAATAACAAAGTTTAAGTTTTAGAAGCTCAAATGGTCGCCTTGCTCTGTTCGTGACTCTCCAATTCGAACGCGTTTATCAAAATGAATGAATCTTTTTTCGTGTCATTTGGTTCATGTAACGAACTAAATGAACAAATTGACTCGGGAAAAGATTTGTTCAATTTGATGAAGTTCGAACAGGAGAGTCACAAAAGCGCATCACAGAACAGAGCAAGGCGACCATTTGTGCTTATAAAACTTTGTTATATATTTTTTTTTTAATGAGCGATCGCTTCGGTAGATAAGACCCTTATTCATCGCCTGGAATCGTTTAAAGCCCTTTGAACTGTTTGCACTGAAACTCTCATTTGGACCTTGAACCGTTTGGTTCCCATTGAAGTCCATTATATGGAGAAAATCCTGGAATGTTTTCATCTAAAACCTTAAATTTCTTTTCGACTGAAGAAAGAAAGACATGGATATCTTGGATGACATGGGGGTGAGTAAATGATCAACAAAAGTTTTTTTTTTTTTTTTTAAAGTGAACTACTCCTTTAAGGTCTGTTCACATTAACATGTATGTTCAGTACAAACTACAGTAACTATGAGTAAGTTAGCAACGATATCAGTCATTAGACTATTAGAGTCTGCTTATTATCATATAAAACTTTTTATTTTGATGCTCCTCAACAGACATTCTTCTGACTGTAGGTAACTTTGCAACTATATGTCAAATTATTCAACTGACCCTAACCCTGACAGGCTACTAATTATCAGAGTTAGTTGACATGTAGTTGCTTAGTTAGTAGAATGTCTAAAGTGGACTATCAAAATAACGTGTAACCAAATTATTAGTCGCACTTCGCACCTTGTTCGGACACATTGTTATCAGTTGAGTTTACGATCAGCAGGTCTGAGTGCAGATCCTGATTATTAATCTCATATGCCCCTGATGGTCTGAGTGCAGTGCTTTGTGATTGAGTCGGTGTGTAATTTGGCTGCAATCATGCCACTTTATCTCCAATCAGGATGTATCTCCGGCTTATATGCTTTCAGACGGCAGAGGGATTGAATTACCCAGCATTCCTTCCATCAAAAAAGTGCGGTGCTCACATTTGCCGCTCCATTTCCTGGCCTGCCAAATCCGAACCCTGCATGCCAACTCTCCGCAGATAATAGCGTAATTGCTTTGTGATTCTGCAGCATGGGCGTTTGAATGCGACCCCTGACCTAACGCTGTAACGTTGTCACGTGCGCTGTGGCGATTTGCACCAGGCTCTGAGAGGAATTGTTATTCATGTTTGTTTGTTTACTCAGTCATTTATTTAGTTCGTTTCACCAAATTTATTTAGCTTCCCCTCCTCTGTGATTCAGAGCGGTCATCAAGCGACAGTAATTGCGCACATTTTGCATTTCATCAGCGCCGGCCGTCTGCAGTGAGGGTTTATGACTGCGCTCAGGGCAAATCACCACAGCTTGCTGAAATGAATTGATTAAATTCTAATTGTTATGAAGCGAGAAAGTGAAAGTCCCCTATGATCTGCCAGGCAGTGAAACTGTATTGATCCATGAGAGGGAAAGAGTGATCGAGACCTTGGTTTCTGCTGTAAACTGAACGGCAGAATTTGGAGAAAAGGTGTCGTGCAGGCCAGATTACCTTTTGTAAGCATACATTTTGTTTTTGAATTGATGTTTCCTACTTGAAGTTTTATGAACAGAAGCCTTTGAGCCTTGTGTTTTTTCAATGAAGATATAAGACCAAAAGGTATCAACATTACCCCATGTACAGTAGTCCACCACTCATTTCTTGGAGCTTTGGTCTTTATCTGGTCTGATCTGTATAACCATAGATGGCAGAGTATTTTAAGTTGTTTCCACTGTTATAAAGACACAAAATCATTTGGCATTGTGCTGATTTGTGTCGTGGAAGTCCACTCATATCAAACTGTGACCCCAAAAACGAGGTACATACTGAACCGTGACTTCTATGTACCGTTACACCCCTATATGCACATTCATTAGTGTGTGAGGTAAAACAAGCATACATTTTGGCCAGTGTTTCCATTGTCCGGTAAATACCAGACATTGGCCGGGAAAATTAAAATATCCCAGGTCAATTTGTCCGATTAAAGGAGTAGTTCATTTTTAAGAAAACTTTTGCTGATAATTTACTCACCCCCATGTCATCCAAGATGTCCATGTCTTTCTTTCTTCAGTCGAAAAGAAATGAAGGTTTTTGATGAAAACATTCCAGGATTTTTCTCCATATAATGGACTTCAATGGGAACCAAACGGTTCAAGGTTCAAATGAGAGTTTCAGTGCAAACTGGTCAAAGGGCTTTAAACGATTCCAGACGATGAATAAGGGTCTTATCAAGCGAAACGATCGCTCATTTAATAAATAAATAAAGTTTAAGTTTTATAAGCTCAAATGGTCGCCTTGCTCTGTTCTGTGATGCGCGTTCATGATTCTCCTATTCAAACTCATTTATCAAAATGAACGAATCTTTTCCTGAGTCAACTCGTTCATTTCGTTTGTTGAATGAACCAAATGACTTGGAAAAAAGATTTGTTCACTTTGATTAACAAGTTTGAACAGGAGAGTCACAAACGCGCATCACAGAACAGAGCAAGGCGACCATTTGAGCTTATAAAACTTAAACTTTGTTATTCTTTTCTAAATGAGCGATCGTTTCGCTTGATAAGACCCTTATTTATCGTCTGAAATCGTTTAAAGGCCTTTGAACAGTTTGTAGTTTGCACTGAAACTGTCTTTTGGACCTTGAACCGTTTGGTTCCCAATGAAGTCCATTATATGGAGAAAAATGGAATGTTTTCATCAAAAACCTTAATTTCTTTTCGACTGAAGAAAGAAAGACATGGATATCTTGGATGACATGGGGGTGAGTAAATTATCAGCAAAAGTTTTTTTAAAAGTGAACTACTCCTTTTAAAATTGCGAAATAATCCCGCCCCCCTAACATAATAGGAATTTGAGAATAAGCCTAAAATGTATAAAGCAAAAATACACCGACCTTTGGCTATGTTATAAAGTAACAGGCTCTAGTACCATTTGAAAGTTATTAATGCTCTCAGCTTGATTTAAAAGACAACAGATTTTGGCTCTAGATCTCTTATTTAATAGCAAACTAAATGGATGATCTGCTAGTTAACTGGAGATGTTTTATTTATTTGTATTAGGTACATCCGTGCCTCAATGTTTCCAAAAGTGAATGTGTGTAAAACCATAGTAAAAAAACAATTGGTGTTGAGGATTGACGCCAATCGGACGTTCATGTTTTTTTTCGTGTATTTGAAAGTTAGGATAATAATATCTTGCATACTATAAGGCATGATTGTCATTTTTTAAAGTTACATAGCTTGCCTCCAGTTTTCCTCAACTTGACTAATTAAAGGGATAGTTCACTTTGAAATACATTTTTGGTATGTTTTAGCTTACCTCAAGGGCATCCAAGATGTAGGTGTCTTTGTTTCCGCAGTATTTTCAATTTTGATAATTTTAGGTCAAACCGTTCTTGCCTGTCAGTCATATAATGGAGGTCTATGGTCACCACCTCAAAGAGCATGCACAGAGAAGTCCAAATTAAACATGATTTAATGACTCGTAAATGTAAGTACACATTGATGGCCTAAGACACGTAAGGAGAGGTTTGTTTGAGAAAACGAACAGTAATTATGTTGTTTTTACCTCTTGTAATCACAGCCACAAAGCGCCCACGCCCTCAGATCACAAGTTACAAGAGGTAAAAACGATATAAATACTGTTCGTTTTCTCACACAAACCGCTCGTTTCGTGTCTTAGGCCATCAATGTGTTCTTACATTTACGAGTCATTAAATCATGTTTAATTTGGACTTCTCTGTGCATGCTCTTTGAGGTGGTGACCATAGACCTCCATTATTTGACTGACAGACAAGAACGGTTTGACCTAAAAATATCAAAATTGAAAATACTGCGGAAACAAAGACACCTACACCTTGGATGCACTTGAGGTAAGCTAAAACATACCAAAATGTATTTCAAAGTGAACTATCCCTTTAAGAGGCGATATTTGACCGGCATGTCATCAAAATGTCCGTAAAATGAAACGGAAACTCCGATTTTGCCGTTGGTTCTAGATCAGATTCTGATGTATATCAGTTGGACATACTGAAATAAATAAAATAAAACAATGCCTCATCTTTTTATTTGCAATATTTGTCATGCAACACAAAATTTGCCACTTTTTGGTTTGAAACACTAGCACAGAGGATGAGCTTAATGGCTTTTTGTGATGAAAATGTCTTTTAAGTGCTTCTTCTGACCACTTGAGGATTTGACGACTTTAACATCAGACACACTCTCTTGCAACTCTGTGTTGAAATATGAGGACTTATTATTGTAATAACTCGTGAATGTTTTCTTCGGCTTCAGCTGAGACGAGCTCTAGTGTACACCAGAGAGATGTAACGTGATCTCGTGTGTGTTATGCGGTAACGTTTCCCAGCACGGCAGAGAAATCTCATACAGTTTCATGTCAATACCCACATATCCATATCAATCCCACACCATACCAGGATATATCATAGAACATCAGAATATAGCTTTATACCCTGACAGTGACACACACTTGTTTTGTGTCCCCCCAACAGACTGCAGAACAGCTACACGGCGTCTCAGAGAGCAAACCAAGACCTGGAGGAGAAACTTCACGCCCTGGTAACCTTTACACTCCACTTCCCCTTTGCCAAGCCCTTTATCTTAAACACTGATGTCTTTAAGTGCCATTTAATTGTTTCGAGTGCCCTAATGATGTCACGCTCAGTCAGTTTGTCACACAAGTATTATGAACCGTAATTGAGGAACCTTTTACTTTGCTTCACTCTCCAGGGACTAACAAACATATCCCACTCATGCATGCTGGAAGTTCATTTTCCACTGGGAAAATTGTTGTTGGAAAACAAGCATCAGTGATTGTGTTGCTTCGATTCGCTCTCGAGATAAAAACACCATCATTCTGGCATTGTGATTTAAATTGTTGCAGTCCTGAATGGGATGATAATAGGATCAAAATGATTAAATCGTGCAAACACAATTAGTTTTGTGCGGATTGCAGTTGCTAATCATTTTGATACTATATTCATCCCATAGTCCTGCTGTGAGTTTTGTTTACTCGCCAAATCTGGCTCGCTTTTAACTCTTCTGAATGTCCTTTTTGCATTGTGCTTTCATAGGCCAGTGATCCTGCCATGGATGATCAAAGACACTGGCCTCGTTTCTTCCCACTGCTTTCATTTCATTGCAGTGCAGTTAATGTCGCCATTAAAAGTGACAAATCGTATTTTTTATACAATATTGCACCCAAAAATGGAAAATTCTGTGATTAATGACGTTCCAAGACTTCCGTTCATCTTTAGAACACAAATTAAGATATTTTTATTGGCTTTCTGTTCCACCATAATACGCCACTACCAATTAAACGCATTAAAAAGTTCATAAAGAGATCGTAAAACTAATCCATATGAATCGAGCGGTTTAGACCAACTTTTGTCAACAGATTGAATTTAGTTTTACGGGTTTGGAACGACATGAGGGAAAGTTATTAATGACAGATTTTTCATTTTTCGGTGTAATAACCCTTCAAAAATAAGGGCTCTAAAAGGGGTCTCACTTTTTCAATGTCATAGAAGAAACATTTATGGTTCCCCAACAAACCTTTTAGTGAACGGTAAAGCTGCAATCCGTAGACATTTTTATACTTCCAAAAAGAATAATCTGTGATTCTGACACCGGCGTGGTGACCGACAGCCTCACACTCTCCTCAAACATTGTGTTCATCCACGCTGTGCCGCGTCGAGGGTGTCAAAGTACAACTCACGTAAAGTTGATAATTCCGTGAGTGACTGCAATTGCAGATTTCGAACAGAGATGGCGACAAAGAGGAAAAAACTACGCACTGCAGCTTTAACTCCTTAACTGTCACTTGCCCGTATACGGGCAACCTAACTTTACTTCACTATATTACTATTAAATCCTAATCTTGTCATGACAAACTATTTATTGTTGGAAAGGTCTAAGACTCCTAAATAGATATTTTAGGTCTGTTTTTTTCTTACAAATTATGAATGAACAGTAATATATGAATATATGACAAGAGTGCGCCTCAAAAAAATCGACGTCATTACAGGAGTTTCTGACCTTTGTCACAAAAAGTCGACGCGCACACTTTTAATAATTGAAACTTTGTTTTTTAGTGCTAAAAGTTCATAATAAAACATAGTTAGTATTTGTCAATAAAAAAAGATAAAATTATATTTTAAAAAGTAAGGTAAGAAGTCCTCTAAAAAGTATAATATATTATATATATATATATATATATGATTTTTTTATTATTATTATATCACATATTTTAGTAGTTATCATAAATTAGGTATCATTTGAAAGCTTACGAACTCAGAATTCATCCTGTGAAAACCGTTTTGAAATTGGACGTTGCGTTACCATAGAAACGGTATTTTTTTTATTAGGCCCCTCCCCTTTTGGGCATCATCTTTCATAATTTATTATGAAAACCTTTTCTAATCTTGACAAAACACATTGTCAGAAAGGTCTGAGTCTCAAGGTTCCATATTTAGTGACAGAAGTGATATTTGGATAGAAATTTATTCATTTGTTATGGCAAAATGCATACAATTAAATTCAATGGCATCCGGTGGCTATTTTTGGTACTACGCCTAAACAAAATCTCATGGGCACTTTAATTTTTGTGATATCAACTTCAAATTTGGTTCACAACTTGGTTCGATATATAGCTTTTATTTTATAGTAAAACATATTTTGTAAAATATATATTTCATATTAAAAAAAATATATTAATAAAGTATATTTGATTTACTGTAAATTATAACTTCCATAGTTTAATTTTTTGAAGTGCTTTCAATTTAATAATAATATGCTGATTGTTTTCTTTAAAACAAGACCAAACTTAAGTCTTAATGTCAATTATCAAAAAGGTAAAGGGTTAAGAGAACCATATTTCGTAGTGTGAAGAACATTTTTCCACTATAAAACACCCTTTGTGCAATGGAAAGCTTCTATGGACTGTAAAGGTTCTTCATGGAACTGTATATTTCAAATAAAAACATTTATTTGAAGCGTATAATACTTTTTCATATACCAATTGTTTTTAAATTCACCTTAAATGTACACGAAAAAATGAAAGGTTTTAATCAACATTTTTTGATTGACTAAATATTTTCAAGCACTGCTGTTAAATGGACAATGTATTTATGGATCAGGCATCTTGGTTTCAGATATTTTGCATGATTCTTTTTCTATAAAAGCTTTGTTTGGGTGAAAATGTTCTGTGCTTTAGAGCTCTACCGAACACAGACAAAGACAGAGTCGTTTTTTAGAGAAATATCAAGAGAGAGAGAGAAATGAATAACATCAAAAGCTAAAGATTGAATAAATGCACAAATTTATCCCTAAGCCTCTTTCCCTTCATAGACTATAAAACAATTCCCACTGGATCTTCTAATACATCATATTACCCATCATAAACTGCAGTCGTCATCCGACAATGTGATTCAATTAGGATGAATGCGATATAAAGATTATTTAAATGTGGAGTGCGTCATGCATTTATTACAATATCTTTGGAAACTGCTGTTGGATTTCATGTTTTATTTAAGCCATTATGAATCTAAATTTCCCCTCGACTCTGCCCTTTTCCGGTTTCGCTCAAATGAAAGTTTAATCAAACACGCATCTATTATAAGTTATTTTAGGAATCTTTGATCTCTCAATGATCTTTAGACTTGAGTAATTTAGCACGACTGGAGGAGTGGTGAATGAGGCTTGCGCTCTTAATCACGTCTGATGACTCCGTACGTGTGTGAGGACAGCATTAGCTGACGATGATTTATTTTCATTCTGAGATCTCGCACCCATGAGCTCTGCGTAAAGCGTTGTCAATCACAGGTGGAACAGGTGGTGTCCTGCTCCGTAATCTCTCAGGGATTATCCCAGCTGACCTGTTCCACCTCGGCATTCCTCCGCACAGGGGCTCTCAGGACATCAGCTTGTCCCTCCAGATAAAGATATATGTATATATATATTAGTGCTGTCAAACGATTAAAATATTTAATCGTGATTAATCGCATTAATGTCATAGTTAACTCGCGATTAATCGCACATTTTTAACTATTCTAAATGTCTCTTGATTTCTTTTTGTCCCATTATTTTTTTCTCATTTTAATGCACTTATCAACATGGAAAAGTGGATCGGCTTGTTTAGTGCAAATGTTGTTGTTTTTTAAAAAAAACAATATTAGCATATACTGTAGTGTTCAATTTCACACTAACATTCTCACTTTGAGCAAATAATCTCACAATGTAACACTGTTAATCAATAAAAGGGTGAACGAAATACTGACGAGGTCCTGATATTGACGGGGGGCGGAGAATTCGCATCAGCTGTGTGTGTGTGTGTGTGTGTGTGCTTGGCCCTCATCAAGCGGTATTTATCTAATGTTAACAAATTAAACCTACTGTAAAGTGTTACAGTTTTTTAATACTTCTATTTAGCTTTAATTTACTTTTATTTCAATTTTAGTTAGGAGTAATACTTTTAGTACTTCAACTTATTGTATTTAGATGGCAAGACAACATTTTTTAATTTTAAGTTAAATTTCCTTCATATATATTTGATTTTGTTTTATTTTAGCTTTATTTCTATTACAGGGTAATAATTTATAACTGATGACAACGTGTTGATTTATTGTGCATTTATAATGTGTCTTTTACATGGATAGTTTCTATCTTTTTTCTTGTCTGTACTTGTCTCTCTCCCATTTGCACACCATCTTATATTTGCAGACATACAGGTTAATAACAATACAAGAATAAACACAATATTAAATCTTTCTCTTCCTTTCTTTCCTCCTTTCCTCTCCTCTCATGCTGCCTTGTGACTTGGGTATTTCACCACCATCATCTTCATCATCGTCATCATCAGGCTGCCATCAGTCAAACTTGGGTCTATGCAGTTGCGTTCTCATTCTTTCTTTTTATCCATGTCCTTCTGTCTGTCCCTGTTCTCTTTCCCATGATTCATTGCATCTCTTTCCTATGTCCTCTCCTTTCTCCCTGCAGTAGATGGCTGGATTTAGATGTTGCCATGTGCATGTGGGCAAGGGGATTCTGGGATACATGCAGCAGTCCAAATGTTTAACTCAGTGGTTAAAATGCATAGCACAACTTGGAGAACACTGTAAGAAAAGCTGCAAAATATGCTAAAATATATGCTTTAAGGGCACTACCGTATGGAAAGGCTGTTTGTCTTCCTTGAGGCCAGCGGTGAAGCGTTCTGTAACGGTGACCGCACACTTCTTCAACATTGTGGACACCAGAAGTGTTTTTCCTGTTCATTTTCTCCTCAGTCTTTTAAAGAAACAACAGTAACAATATGTAGGCTTTTTGACCAAACCATTCGACTCCTAACTATGGAAGCTTGTTTACGGCACTGAAAAAAAATAGAAAAATAAATAATTGCGACTTTTCTCACAATTGCGAGATATGAAGTCAATTGTGAGAAATAAAGTCGCAATTGCAAGATATGAAGTCGTAATTCTGAGAAATAGTCGCAGTTTTGAGATATAAAGTCACAATTGTGAGATATAAAGTCGCAATTATGAGATATAAAGTTGCAATTGTGAGAAATAGTCACAATTGTGAGATATAAAGTCGCAATTCGGAGAAATAGTCACAATTGCGAGATAAAGTCGCAATTGTGAGAAATAAAGTCACAATTGTGAGAAATAAATTCACGATTCTGAGAAATAAAGTTGCAATTGTGAGATCTAAAGTTGCAATTCTGATAAATAAAGTCGCATTTGTGAGCTATAAAGTCGCAATTCGGAGAAATAGTCACAATTGCGAGATAAAGTCGAAATTGTGAGAAATAAAGTCGCAATTGTGAGAAATAAAGTCGCTATTTTGAGAAATAGTCACAATTGTGAGAACTAGTTGCAATTGTGAGATATAAAGTCACAATTGTGAGAAATAAATTCACGATTCTGAGAAATAAAGTTGCAATTGTGAGATCTAAAGTTGCAATTCTGATAAATAAAGTCGCATTTGTGAGATATAAAGTCGTAATTGTGAGATATAAAGTCGCAATTGTGAGATATAAAGTCGCAATTCTGAGAAATAAAGTCGCAATTGTGAGATATAAAGTCGCAATTGTGAGAAATAAAGTCACGATTCTGAGAAATAAAGTCGCAATTGTGAGATCTAAAGTTGCATTTCTGATAAATAAAGTCGCATTTGTGAGATAAAAATTCGCAATTGCGAGTTATGAAGTCAATTGTGAGAAATAAAGTCGCAATTGCGAGATATGAAGTCGCAATTCTGAGAAATCGTTGCAATTTTGAGATATAAAGTTGCAATTGTGCGATATAAGTCGCAATTATGAGATATAAAGTTGCAATTGTGAGAAATAGTCGCAATTGTGAGAAATAAAGTCTCTATTCTGAGAAATCGTCGCAATTCTGAGAAAAAGTCGCAATTCTGAGAAATAAAGTTGCAATTGTGAGATATAAAGTCGCAATTATGAGATATAAAGTCGCAATTGTGAGATATAAAGTCGCAATTGTAAGACATAGTCACAATTCTGAGAAATAAAGTTGAAATTGTGAGAAATAGTTGCAATTGTGAGACATAGTCACAATTCTGAGAAATAAAGTTGAAATTGTGAGAAATAGTCACAATTCTGAGAAATAAAGTCGCAATTGTGAGATCTAAATTCGCAATTGTGAGATATAAAGTCACAATTGTGAGAAATAAAGTCGCAATTGTGCGATATAAAGTTGCAATTGCGTGATATAAAGTCGCAATTGTGAGAAAAAGACAGAATTGAGACTTATTATCTGTCATTTCTGACTTTTTCTCACAATAGCTGGGTTTCAGTCATGTGATTATGATGACGCACAGAATTCAGACGGAGTGCAGGGAGTGAAGAGCGCAATGGACGAGATGGAGGAAAGTCCGTACTGTACTACTGTACACGCTATTACAAGAGAAAGAAATGAACAAAAAATCAAACATATGTTGGACGTGATCCGTACGTTATGAAGAGGAGCGATTTTTCAACTGAATTGAAATATTTTCCTGCCATCGAGGCTGTAGATATCAGCAACTACCTCTTACAAACATACTTTGACTTTATAAAGTTCGAAAACGTTACACAAACAGTCACTTAAGTTGTATTGACGAAGTGATCACTAACGTTACACACACACACACTTTCCCATTCGGCTCCTCCTGACCGCAGACATAGGTTTGAAAGCCGTTTTTCCAGAGTTTTTTCATCACTTTCTTGCATTTTCCCTCCTTATGAACAACAACTTTTGGCACACGATAAAAACTCCTTGTGGTTTGATCGATTCAAGTAACCATAAATGACTCTATTTATTATAGTGCTTTCTAAATACAGCAAATCACTTCCTGCCCTCCATTTGTATTTTGCGCCATGGCAACCCAGTGGCGTGACGTCATATGAAAACAAGCTATTGCAAGTTTACATCTCGCAATTCTGACTTTATAACGCATAATTGTGAGTTTATATCTCGCAATTTTGACATCTTTTCTCAGAATTGTGAGATATAAACTCGCAATTGTGAGTTACCTGGCCAATAATAAGGGGAAAATAAGACTAACTTCCCCCCCCTCAGAATAGTTTATATCTCACAATTCTGACTTTACAAAATGCAATTTTGACTTTTTATCATTAATTTCTGACTTTATAACACGCTATTGTGGCCTTATATCTATCAATTCTGACTATAACACACAATTGCGACTATATCACGCAATTCTGACTTTATATCTTGCAACTCTGAGAAATAAAGTCAGAATTGCGAGATGTAAACTCGTATTCTAAACTCGTATGTAATCGTTTTGATATGTGTAGTGTACTCCCTCCCTAGTAATTTAGTAATTAAAAATGATTTTTTATATAGCTTAAATGTGTTTTCTGTGTGGAGAAAATGAATAGGATTTTTACTTTTGGATCCTTTCTGTTTGCTCGCATACATGGGCTGTCAGGTGAAAACTTTCCTTATTGTTAATTAACAATATTCCTATATATAATGCAATATTCTCTGAATAGCTACACATGGGAATTTTGCAGTTGTGTTTGTCAAAATAACATTACAATTCAAAATAAATTGGAAGTAACCCATGTCTTTGCTTAGGCTGTACCAAACATGCATATTTTATTAAACACAAATATATATATATTTCCTAAATAAGGGATGTTTTAGTCAAGTAAAAGTTCTCTGTTGACACTTTGGCATTTTGACCACTTGACTACAGCTTTGGATGGTATGAATGCAGCTGTTAAACTGATAAAACACTCTCTGTCCCTGTCTCCTGTTAGTCTGTCAGATGTGCTGTGCTTTAGACTGGCTGTTTCATTGCCTTAGTTACTCGTGGACTGCATCACGCTGAAAGGCTTCCCTCAACTCTCTTTTATTGGTCCACATTGTCCGCTTCTGTCAAATGGTGACTATAAAGATAATTGCTTTGTTATGAACATGCCGAGCTCCTGATTAAGGGTCACAGTTTCTCTCCACTTTTCCTCAGTGTCTCTGTCTCCACTTAAAGCAAGAGCCGACAGGACTGAAGTGTGTCTTAAGTAGCGAAGCTTCTGCTAAGTATGTCCTCTTTAAAGTTCTCTGAAGAGCTTTTGTTCAGTCGTTTTAGCACAAAGACATTTGCGACTTTGCCGTCACAGCAGGAGTGTAGTGTCCTCAGACAACACTCATGCCTCAGTTAGACGAACACTGAAGTCAGACAGAAGACGTTTTAGGTGTGTAAATGTACAGTGTCATCGGAGTCGGGCGGCCCACAAGTTCCCTCACCGGCTGTCTGGTGCATGTTGAAAGTACATTCTCGTTCCTGCAAACTCGAAGATGTTATTCTTTCTATGAAATGAAAATAATCTTCAATAACAGCTCATAGTGACCATCAAAATTTTGCCATCAATATATATATATATATATATATATATATATATATATACTGTATATATATATATACCTTTATATATACCTATATTGGTCCCACTTTATATTAAGTGGCTTTAAGTATTATGTACTTTGAAATTAATAATTTGATACAATGATCAATTGTGTACACACATGTTTTTACATTGTACTTAATTAATCTATGTAATTACATTTGTATTACACCTTAACCCACCATTGTACCTACCCATACCACCACACCTGTCTCTAACCTTACCCGTATCACACCTCAATAGCAGCAAAAGTGTTTTACAATACAACCTGAACACATTAAGTACTTTGTACTTATTTTTCGATGGAAGTACATAGTACTTAAAGCCAATTAATATAAAGTGGGACCCAAAGTGATTATACACAGTACACAGGTGTATATTATGTGAACACAAACCTTTATTTTGGATGCGATTAATTGTTGCCCAGCACTAGGTTTTACTAAAAAAAGCTCTTCATTGTGCATTTATAAACTGCAACACTCATGGTCCAGTCCAATGAAAACTGAAGATTAGCAGTGAATAACCATAGTATACTAACTGTTAAACACTAGATGTGTATCGGTGCATACATTCAGACGACGAATACAGTAGGGCCTGGTATTGGCACAAATTTCACCATTCTATGTAAGGGTTAATGCCCGACGAGGTGTCCATTGTCAGGTTTTAATGGACGACGGCGAGGCGTGAACCGGCCGACGCGCAGCGGAGGTCCATTAAAACCTGACAATGGACACCTCGAAGGGCATTAACCCGCTTATACCATGGTCACTTGCCAAATAAAACATTTTTAAAACATTAGTTTATATTTTAATTAGGCTAAATCTAGTTTTTACAAATAATAACTCGCCTGGTTTATTTAGCCACCGGAGATATTTATAGGCCGCTCAGCTTGTAGAACCCTTCGGGTTAAAAAAATGCATTTTTTTTTTCATAAAACACTAAGATAGGCATAGTTATTTATTTTTTTAATTACACATAAAACAATTAATCAAACAGGCTTCTTAGGCTTGAAACGCTGTACTCTCCTCCTGCCTGGTTGTTTGGACATCTGCGTAAAACTCCCGCAGGGTCTCATTCAGAGCAGCAGCGGTTTGCGACATTTCTCCGTTTTATTTAAATTTTTTCTTTCTTCAGCAGCATCCCAGTCGTCAAAGTTGTCATAATCTCCATAAATGTTAAAAGAAATAACGAAGTCGCTCATTGTTGTATTAGTAGGCTATGTAATATCTAACTAACGTTAGATGTTTGTTTTGATAGAGCAAATTGTTAACGGTTACTTTGACTGCCTGTTGCTACGGTTACTCACAGCTGTTGTGGGCAGCGCATTTATTTATTCATTTCGAATGGTAAACAGGCAGTTTCACCAGAACTACTTTACTAGGTGTCCTCTATCACCTTTTAACGGACACCCTGCAGCCAATCAGAATCGAGTATTCACCCAGACCATGGTATAATCGATTTCGATTCACAAGCTTGCAATTTGATTCTGATTCAGTATTGATTATTGTGGATATCAGGTACAAAACATTGGAAATTTTCTCAAGGAAAACAAATCTCTTAAAGGATCTGATATGTTTTAGCTTACCTGAAGGGCATCCAAGATGTAGGTGTCTTTGTTTCCACAGTATTTTCATTTTTTTTTTTTACATTTTTCAGTCAAACCGTTGTTGTCTATCAGTCATATAATGGAGGCTATGGGGGTCCACCAAAAAGCATGCATGCAGAGAAGTCAAAATTAAACATGATTTAATGACTCGTAAATGTAAGTACACATTGATGACCTAAGACATGAAACGAACGGTTTTGTGAGAAAACAAACATTATTTATATCGTTTTTACCTCAGCGCACAAGTCCCACCCCGAAAGTTCCTGAACTCTGAAAAAAGTACTACCTCGTCCGCAGGGACTTTCTGGGGGGAATTTTTTTACCCGGAACTTCACTTAGACCTCGGTTCCTGTGGTGTAAACACACCGAGTACCACCCCAAAGTTCCTAGTTCCTGGGGAAAGTTCCTGCAGTGGAAACGCGGCTTAAACGAAGGCTGTACTTTAGAAACTACCTCAGGGAGGAATGAAAGAAAAAATGAACCTAGCATTGGGGATTTGTTGCTTTTTCCTGTTGTACCGAACTCGTATCGAACTGTGACCCCAAAACCGAAGTACGTACCAAACCGTGACTTCTGTGTACCGATACACTCCTAATATAGCATAAAAAGACCAAAAAAAAAAAACATTAAAGGGATAGTTCACCCAAATGGAAGTCAATGGACTCCATCAACTATTTGGTTACCGACGTTGTTCAAAAAATTGTTCAACGTTGTTTGAAAAAAACTAGCTTGTGTTTGAAAGCAAAAGTTGTTTTTTACAAGATAGACAAAATTGGGCAGAAATATTGGCGACTCAGAGGAGACGACACAACGAGAGACTGTGATGCTTATGAGATCCAGCAAGTGATTATGACTCCTTGTCTGTGTTTTCTCATGGGATGCGCCTCATTCCCGGGCTCTTTGGATGACTTTTTTCTTTGCAGCCGGTGCCGTGTCAGCAATGATATTAGGACTGAAGGAAAAGTTGTTTTGTTTTATCAAAAGGCTAAAATGGCCACTTGTTACCACTGTTTTATAAGAAAGACGTCTAACCTCACATGAGACCTTTTACATTTAAGTTTACACGAATGTCCTTTTTCTCCTTACAGCTCCGTAAAGTGGAAAGAGACAAGAAAACCATGGATCAAGAGATAGTGGAGCTCACAAATAAACTCGTGGACGCCAAAAATACTATCGACAAGCTGGAGGAACTGAACGTACGTGCAGTATCAGAGCTTTGTGTTTGTTTGTGTTTGAGGCTAGAGTTTTCAGAGCTGGGATTGATAACTACTGGAGCTGAAAATTGAAAGTTGCATGAGGAGGATCTGCGCTGAGTTTTCACTGAAGATTACAGAAATGATGTCTGGCTCATGGAGCTTCACTGGGGAACACGAGTCTCCTGCACATACACACCACCACTCATCCACTATACACCAGAACAGCTGCCTGTTTTAAATACGATCTATGGCACTGGTTGTATGGGAAAGCCTAAATTATATAAACACTCTTAGGCCGTTTTTCCACGGCTAGACGCTCTGCTGAAGATGCCGTGCTTTGGGCGCTTGATAGTGTTTTGTCAGCGCAGTGTTTTTACCGTTGAGACGTTTCGTTACTGTGATACAGAACATCCGCAGCACAGTTTACTTGGAACTGATTTTGCAGATAATTTGTTTCATACTAAAAATGTATTTTTCATCCATGTTGTTCGGTTAGCTCTGCTGGTTGATGTCGTTGTACAGAAAGAATGTTGTGACGGTTGGTCGGTGTGGTATTAGCCCCACCCCTCCTCCACTGTGATTGGACGGCAGGGTAAAAAGTGACATTGAAGAGCGCAGTATTTTATCCTAAATTGAACATTTTTCAACTCTTAGGCCATGAGTCCACCAAAGCGTTTTTCCACGCGCCTGGCGTTTGTTTTCAATGGGAGCACGGCGTTTTTTAAATGCCGTGAGCGTAATGAGGTGCTGAGCGTTTTTTTTTTCACGCTGAAGCGTCGAGCGCCCAGCGTTTTTTACTGGTCGCCAAGAGTTGAAAAATGTTCAACTTTGGATAAAACACTGCGCTCATCACTGTTACTTTTTAACTTGCCGTCCAATCACAGTGGAGGAGGGGGCGGGGCTAATCCCACACTGACCAACTGTCACAACATTCTTTCTGTACAACGACATCAACCAGAAGAGCTAACCGAACAAAATGAATGAAAAATACATTTTTAGTATGAACCAAATTATCTGCGAAATCTTTTCCAAGTAAACTGTGCTGCATATATTCTGTATAAAAGCAAAACAACGTTTCAGCGGAAAAAACGCTGCGCTGCCAAAACGCTCTCAAGCGGCCAAAGCACGGCATCTTCAGCAGAGCGTCTGGTGTTTTCAGCTGGCTAAAAACGCTTTGGTGGACACACGGCCTTAGCGACCAGTAAAAAATGCTCAGCGCTTCAGCGTGAAAAAAAAAACGCTAAGCACCTCGTTTTTTTTAATGCTCATTGCGTTTAAAAAATGCGGCGCTCCCATTGAAATCAATTGAAAACATATGCCAGGTGCGTGGAAAAAAACGCTTTTGTGGACACTCAGCTTTAGGCCGTGTGTCCACCAAAGCGTTTTTAGAGCATGTCTTCTGCTGAAGACTGCTTGCTTTGGGCGCTTCAGAGCGTTTTGTCAGCACAGCGTTTTTTCCGTTGAGACGTTTCGTCGCTATGATACAGAATATCCGCAGCACAGTTTACTTGTAACTGATTTCGCAGATAATTTGGTTCATACTAAAAATTTATTTTTCATCCATGTTGTTCGGTTAGCTCTGCTGGGTGATGTCGTTGTACAGAAAGAATGTTGTGACAGTTGGTCGGTGTGGTATTAGTCACGCCCCTCCTCCACTGTGATTGGACGGGTGGGTAAAAAGTGACAGTGATTACCACAGTGTTTGAACATTTTTCAACTCTCGGCGACCAGTAAAAAACGCCGGGCACTTCAGCGTGAAAAAACGCTCAGCGCCTCGTTACACTCATGGCGTTTAAAAAACACGGCGCTCCCATTGAAAACAATTGAAAACGTACGGCAGGCGCATGGAAAAACGCTTCAGTGGGCACACGGCCATACTGTACATTCACACCGCCGCCGACAAAGAAGCTCTGGCCACCTTGTCAAGGACGCTTGTCAAAAAGTACGGGGAAGCTTGTTGACGCTTTGAACGCTCTGACGTTGAATAGAATAGAAGTGTCACAATATGAAATGTAATAAACAGAAAAAAACAAGCAATACATTGAAGAAACTTTTTGTAATGACAGCATTTTTATAACCGTTTTGGTCACGTTTGGATTCGAAAAAAAGAAAAGTTAGCTGTCATTATTATTATTTGGTCAAATTGGTGTCACCGCGAGCAAATGAATTGCATTCCCACTTTAAAGCGAGCGTTCGTAAATATTTCAAATAAAAGTTGCGCTTATGCAGCCGCTATAAGCAAACGTCATGTCACAAATTATAGGAAACCTGTAGGTAACCTAGCAACGGCGATTATTAGCTTCTCTTCCATTTTTTCGGAACTAATGTTTATAGGAACGAAAGTTTACATTGTATGCTACGTCACAGCTCATTGCCATTAAGTTGAGTTTCTTTCAACTTCCTGATTGACGCTCAAAACGCGACGCCGATGGATTTGACGCTATTCGCAGCTGAGAAAAGCCAGCTTCCGTTGAAATTGAATGACTTCCGGTCGCTTTGGAAGCTCAAGGCGGCGGCGGTGTGAACATACAGTTAGCATTCAAGCAATTGAATTTGAGTTTCACCGGGCTGTGAAATAGCAGACAGTGGGTTTTTAAGATAGTAACTCCATGAGTAATAACAAAGCAGGTACAGGAGTTCTGAAATGGGCGTTTATTACACCCCATGTGTGAAACGCAGCCACGGGGAACTAATTATAGCACTGAAGAAACTGATATCCGTCTGTTCGCAGTGTTCAAACAGAGCGCTTCATCTCTTTAGACAGAGAGAGAGCACACATCAATCATAGCTCATTCCTCAGGAGAACGTCTTTCCCCCTTAATAACCTTTTTTTAGTTGTAAATCCCTAAGACTGTGACTTTGTCTGCCATTTTCCTTGTTATACTTGCAATTTTTCAGTGAAAGGTTTTTGAGAGAACTACTCATTATTATTATTATTTATTCATTTATTTCTCTACGTGTTCGAGAAGTGGTTCTCAACCATGGGCGCCTGGAAAACTTTCAGTGGATCCTTGAAATAAATGTATATTATTTAAAATAATGCAAAACTTATTTTAATTGACCCCTCGATTCAACCACAAACCACAGTGTTCCCATAGTCTTTGAAAACCATATTATACAAGGTGGCCTAAGACCTGGAAAAGTCATCTTTATTTACATATCTTAAATGAAAAATATTTTTTTGAAGCTTTTGCTTCTATCCTGTCCAATTTGTGTGTGTGTGTGTGTGTATATATATATATATATATATATATATATATAAATACATGCATGAATACATACAGTGGTGACCAAACATTTTTTTTTAACGTTTTTAAACGAGGGTCCTTCATTTATTTGACCCAAAATACAGCAAAAACAGTAATATTGTGAAATATTTTTACAATTCAAAATAACCCTTTTCTTTTTGAATATATTTTAAAATGTAATTAATTCCTGTTATCAAAGCTGTATTTTCATGATCATTACTCCAGTCTTCAGTGTCACATGATCGTTCAGAAATCACTCTAATATTTATTATTATTATCAATGTTGAAAGCAGTTGAGTACATTTTATTTTCAAGATTCTTTGATGAATAGAAAGTTCAAAAGAACAGCATTTATCTGAAACGGAAAGCTTTTGTAATATAATAATAATATGAAATATAATGCAATATATGCAATAAAAAAAATAACTCTTACTCACCCCAAACCTTTGAACAGTGTTGTTACAGAAGCTTTCTATTTCACATAAATGCTGTTTTTTTGAACTTTCTACTCATCAAATAATCCTTATCCAACTAATCATAAACAACTGGAAGAGTCTTGTAAATTCAAACTAGGAATAATAAGCTCCAAAATCTGCAATATATATATATATATATATATATTTTCTTTCAGTTGGAATTCATGTTTTAGTTATAGTTGAGCGCCCACAGATTAAAATAAGTTTTGAAAACCAAACTAACGCAGAACCGCCGTGTTCAAGTAATAATGAAGTCACTCCGTGAAAAAAATGCTAAATGACGAATCTCTTACATTGACACACAGTTGGCTGCTTTTCCTTCTATCCAGTCCAACTCGTCTGTGTGTGTTTGTTTTTAGATTTGTCAAATAGATTTGTAATGATTTTGTGAAACATACATTCATTTGAAGGAAAGTGTCATTCCAAAAAAAGTTGACTTTGATGACTTTCTTTATTTGATGCGTCTCATACGGTATATGTTTCCCTGACACTTTCTCCATTGTCTGTCCTCATGCAGGAACGCTATCGGCAGGATTGTAATTTGGCCGTCCAGCTGTTGAAGTGCAATAAATCGCATTTCAGGAACCACAAGTTTGCTGATGTAAGTAATAGGATCTGTTCCTCATAAAAACACATACCCCCTTCCACGTTTTAAAGAATTGTTCACCAAAAATTAAAATTCTGTCATTTTACTCATCTCATATCGTTTGATTGTTGTGCTGCCATACAACAACTTTGTTTGGGAATAAGCATCCAGGTGTACATGGACAATAATACACTGCTAAGTATCAAAAATGATATGTAAATATGATTTCAGAGTAAGATTATTGTAGATTTGAGAATCACTTATTCTTGAATCACAGTAATTTTGCCAAGAGATCTCTCATTTATTATTTTTATACATGCGTCAGGCATAGAGGAATAAGGCTACAGTCTTCGTTACAGATTTCTCTGTTCCCCATTTCCCATCATGCCAGCTCTAATGGTTTCTCTGCGTTTCTCCTTCCTCTCATGCCTTTATGTTTCTCTGAGTCACTATAGTAAGGATGGAGCTTACATACACTACTGAGGGACTTAGTTACAACTTCCTTGTAAGGGAGCAAAACATGTTGCTTATGTTTAAAATGGAACGTATACCCCATGCTTACACATGTCACAATCCACTTTCCATATTAAAGGGATACTCCATTTTTTTTTTTTTTTTTTTTGGAAATAGGTTCATTTTACAACTCCCCCAGAGTTAAACAGTCGAGTTTTACCGTTTTCGAATCCATTCAGACGATTTTCTGATTTTTAGAAGACTATCAGTAACCAGATAGTTTCTGGTCTCATTGACTCCCATAGTATATTTTATTCCTACTATGGAAGTCAATGAGACCAGAAACTATCTGGTTACTGATATTCTTCTAAAAATCAGACAATCGGCTGAATACATTCGAAAACGGTAAAACTCAACTGTTTTAACTCTAGCTAGTCCAAAACTTTGAAAAAGGTACGCTCCACCAGCGGGGAGTCCCCCGGCGGACGGCGGTCCCCGGACGAGCGCGCCGGCCCCCCGAAATTTTTGGGGGTCCGGCCGACGGCGCCCCCGGGCCTCGCCCGGCGCGGGGGGCGCGCGGGCGGGCGGGCCGGGCCCCGAGCCCCCCGGGGGGCCGACGGAGCGGCCCCGAGTCCGGGGGGCGGGGGCAGTTCCGCCTCGACCCCCACGGGGGAGCCGTCCCGGAACGTCCCGCGAACCCACTAAACGTCCGACCGGCCACCGCTCCCACAGGGGGTCCGGCGACCCGCCCCCGGACCCCCGGCCACGCCCGTCCCGCGGACCCACTATTCGTCCGACAACCCACTAAATCGGGGGGACGTCTCGGAACGCCCCCGCCCGCCCCCGGCCACGCCCCCGTCCCGCGGACCCACTATTCGTCCAATAACCCACTGTATTCGCCAAACGTCTCGGGAACGCCCCCCGGCCACGCCCCCGTCCCACGGACCCACTATTCGTCCAATAACCCGCTATATTTGCGAAAACGTCCCGGGACCGCTCCCGGGCCACGCCCCCGTCCCACGGACCCACTATTCGTCCAATACCCGCTTTTTTTTTTTTTTTTTTTTTTCGGTCGGCCCGACGCGCAGCGATCGGACGCGGCCCCGCCGCCGACCCGTCGGGTGGGGATTCGGGCCGCGTTTTCGATGGACGTTTCGATCGGAGTTCCGGTCGTGACGAAAACCACTCGCCTGCGCTCGGCCGGGGCCCCCGAGTCCGTGGCACCGAGCGCCGTCCCATAATTCCACTGTCCACGAACCCACTATGTGTCCAATAACCCGCTATTTTCAAATGTACTAACCCCAGCCTCCATGCAATAAGCTGCAAATGGACAGAATCCCACCTGCAACCTATCCCACTGTCCAATAACCCACTATTTGTCCAATAACCCACTATTTTTCAAATGTACTAACTTCAGCCTCCATGCAATAAGCTGCAAATGGACAGAATCCCACTTGCAATCTATCCCACTGTCCAATAACCCACTATTTGTCCAATAACCAACTGTCCAATAACCCACTATTTGTCCAATAACCCACTATTTTCAAATGTACTAACCCCAGCCTCCATGCAATAAGCTGCAAATGGACAGAATCCCACCTGCAATCTATCCCACTGTCCAATAACCCACTATTTGTCCAATAACCCACTATTTTTCAAATGTACTAACCTCAGCCTCCATGCAATAAGCTGCAAATGGACAGAATCCCACTTGCAATCTATCCCACTGTCCAATAACCCACTATTTGTCCAATAACCAACTGTCCAATAACCCACTTTTTGTCCAATAACCCACTATTTTCAAATGTACTAACCCCAGCCTCCATGCAATAAGCTGCAAATGGACAGAATCCCACCTGCAACCTATCCCACTGTCCAATAACCCACTATTTGTCCAATAACCCGCTATTTTTCAAATGTACTAACCTCAGCCTCCATGCAAAAAGCTGCAAATGGACAGAATCCCACTTGCAATCTATCCCACTGTCCAATAACCCACTATTTGTCCAATAACCCACTATTTTTCAAATGTACTAACCTCAGCCTCCATGCAATAAGCTGCAAATGGACAGAATCCCACTTGCAATCTATCCCACTGTCCAATAACCCACTATTTGTCCAATAACCAACTGTCCAAGAACCCACTTTTTGTCCAATAACCCACTATTTTCAAATGTACTAACCCCAGCCTCCATGCAATAAGCTGCAAATGGACAGAATCCCACCTGCAATCTATCCCACTGTCCAATAACCCACTATTTGTCCAATAACCAACTGTCCAATAACCCACTTTTTGTCCAATAACCCACTATTTTCAAATGTACTAACCTCAGCCTCCATGCAATAAGCTGCAAATGGACAGAATCCCACTTGCAATCTATCCCACTGTCCAATAACCCACTATTTGTCCAATAACCAACTGTCCAATAACCCACTTTTTGTCCAATAACCCACTATTTTTCAAATGTACTAACCTCTGCCTCCATGCAATAAGCTGCAAATGGACAGAATCCCACCTGCAATCTATCCCACTGTCCAATAACCCACTATTTGTCCAATAACCAACTGTCCAATAACCCACTATTTGTCCAATAACCCACTATTTTTCAAATGTACTAACCTCTGCCTCCATGCAATAAGCTGCAAATGGACAGAATCCCACCTGCAATCTATCCCACTGTCCAATAACCCACTATTTGTCCAATAACCAACTGTCCAATAACCCACTATTTGTCCAATAACCCACTATTTTTCAAATGTACTAACCTCTGCCTCCATGCAATAAGCTGCAAATGGACAGAATCCCACCTGCAATCTATCCCACTGTCCAATAACCCACTATTTGTCCAATAACCAACTGTCCAATAACCCACTATTTGTCCAATAACCAACTGTCCAAGAACCCACTATTTGTCCAATAACCCACTATTTTTCAAATGTACTAACTTCTGCCTCCATGCAATAAGCTGCAAATGGACAGAATCCCACCTGCAACCTATCCCACTGTCCAATAACCCACTATTTGTCCAATAACCAACTGTCCAAGAACCCACTTTTTGTCCAATAACCCACTATTTTAGAAATATACTACCCGAAAACCCATTGAATAGATTGCCGGCGGGATTCTGTCCATTTGCAGCTTATTGCATGATGGTCCGGGTAAGTACATTTGAAAAATAGTGGGTTATTGGACAAAAAGTGGGTATTTGGACAGTGGTTTTTAAGCTTAGCTTTCAAAATATTTGGATGAAAACTACTTTCCTGCACTCAGCTGGGGCCCCTGAGTCTGTAGAACCAAGTGCCATCCCATAATTCCACTGTCCAAGAACCCACTTTTTGTCCAATAACCCACTATTTTAGAAATATACTACCCGAAAACCCATTGAATAGATTGCCGGCGGGATTCTGTCCATTTGCAGCTTATTGCATGATGATCCGGGTAAGTACATTTGAAAAATAGTGGGTTATTGGACAAAAAGTGGGTATTTGGACAGTGGTTTTTAAGCTTAGCTTTCAAGATATTTGGATGAAAACTACTTTCCTGCACTCAGCTGGGGCCCCTGAGTCTGTAGCACCAAGCACCATCCCATAATTCCACTGTCCACGAACCCACTATGTGTCCAATAACCCACTATTTTTGAAATCTACTAACCCCGATCTTCATGCAATAAGCTGCGAATGGACAGAATCCCGCCTGCCATCGATTGAATGGGGATTTGGTTATGGTATTTTTTTGACTTTTTTTTTACGCTTTTTTTTCATGATAAAAACTATATTACTGCACTCAGGGGGGCCCCCTGAGTCCGCGGCACAAAGCGCCACCCCCAAATTCCACCGTCCACGAACCCACTATTTTTATAATGGGACAAATGCTACGTGGGATCTCGATATCTCAGCTCTGGGAGGGTCTAGAGCCTCCATTTTTTCGCTCAGGTCCTTGTCCCATGGCCCTCTATCCGAATCCCGAGTTTCGAGAAGATCGGAGAAAGTCAAAATTTTGAGCCAAAAAAAGCGACAGGGGTACCCCTGTCGCTTTTTTTGGTCCGAAAAAACAAGTTTCTCCGATCTTCTCGAAACTCGGGATTCGGATAGAGGGCCTTGGGACTTAGACCTGAGTGAAAAAATGGAGGCTCTAGACCCTTCCTGGGCTGAGATATCGAGATCCCACGTAGCATTTGTGCCATTATAAAAATAGTGGGTTCGTGGACGGTGGAATTATGGGATGGCGCTTGGTGCCGCGGACTCAGGGGGCCCCCCTGATTGCAGTAATATAGTTTTTATCAAGAAAAAAAACAGTCAAAAAAAAGTCAAAAAAATACCATACTCAAATTCCCATTGAATTGATTGCAGGCAGGATTCCGTCCATTTGCAGCTTTTTGCATGAAGGTCGGTGGTAGTACATTTGAAAAATAGTGGGTTATTGGTCAAATAGTGTGTATTTGGACAGTGGTTTTTAAGCTTAGCTTTCAAGATATTTGGATAAAAACCATGTATATGCACTCAGCTGGGGCCCCTGAGTCTGTAGAACTAAGTGCCATCCCATAATTCCACTGTCCAAGAAC